CGCTCCTCTGGAGACTCCTCGGCGGGCTCCACCGCGGCTGGAGGCTCCGGCTGGGCCACGTGGAAGCCCTCTTTGACGGCCGCCTGAGCCGCCTGAATCGCCTGGAGCTGATGCTGGCGGTGGGATACGTGCATCGTCAGGGCGCCCATCTGCGCTGTCAGCTCCTGGTTGGACCGAAAGAGGGCCTGCTACATGATCCGCGTCTCCCCCATTGCCTGCGAGATCTTCACGTCGGGCACCTCGGCACTCAGGCGCTTGATTCGGCGACGCTGCTGTGGGGCGTTCACACCCGTCGGGGTCATCGAGTCGTAGGCCTCCATGTCGTGGACACCGCGATCTCTCATGTGCTTGGGGATGGAGCCGGTCATTCTCGGCTCGGCCTCGCATCTCTCGGCCTTGGCGTTCCGGCGGGCGCGGGGGCGCAGGCTCGAGGCCACGCCTGGGGCCATCTCTCGTTCCCCCCAGGGCGCCGCCGACCTCTGTGACAACTGCGATTGTTCCTTCTTGGTCTGGGGCTGGCCCTTGCGCAAGACGCGATAGGCCAGGCGGAGCTCGCGCAGGCCACATTTCCACCACTCGCCGTCCTTGTTGCTCCTGCTGAAGGTGGCATCTGGAGGGTGAGGGCAATCCATCTGTTTCGAAGTGATCCTCCTCTGCGCACGGGTGTAGGACTGAGGGTAGAGACGTCCGGCCCTCGCGGCCTCCAGGATCCCATGCCAGATGAGGTCCACGCTGATGAAGAGCCTCGAGACCACTCCCGCCCAACAGTTGGCGGCCCTCGAGAGGTCGTCTGGCGCCTCGCTCATGGTCAGACGGCGCGTCAACTTCGGTGGGCCTCCCTCGGGAACTGGAATATTATCTGGAGACGCCGCTGTCATGACGAGTACTGTCCTGAATGGGGAGATCGCCGGCACCGTGAGAGGTGTCGCTTGGGTTCTGAGCCAGCGCGGAGACTGTCGAGCGGGCTGTCGAGGTGGGGCGTGGGTCCTGGGATTCAGCCGTCCTCGAGGATGGTGTCCCTGGGGTTGCGCAGACGTGGTCCTCGATGTCGGGGCCCGCCTGGCAGGCCTGGTCGGACTGGTCGAACGACGAGTCTTCGGATCTCGAGACGCTAAGCCCCGGACTGCTTCGCACCTGGCCCTGCTCTGGACTGGCACGACTGATTGAGACGTCCTTTTTGTCCTTAGAGCCCCAGAGAATCCCACGCCCCGTCTGAGCCCCCGGGGCCCCTTTGACTGAACCCCCATTGCCGGGGCCACTCCAAACCTCGATCTGCACCCCACTTTCCGAACCCAAGACTCCGCCACTGGTCGCTTCAGAGGTCAGGGGGGGAGCAGAGTGGGAGAGACAGGATAGCGCCTTGTACTTGACACCTCCTTCAGCACGGAACGACGCGTCTGACGCGCAATGCTTCTGGCGCGCCGGCTCTGGACAAGAAATAATGTGGGGGGGCCGCCCTGGCTCGTCTACGCGAATCGTTCGATGGCCCAAGGGTAGCTGCAACATGGGAGTGCCAAAAAACCTCGAGCCGCGCAAAACTCATCTCCTTCTTCGGGAGACAAATTGTCGCTCCTAGAGCACTCTGCATGCAGATGGGGAGCAACGGAGGCAAGTCTTGCTCTGCAACATCCATGTCCGTGACTCCTATCTTGCCTTCTAGGTCTACTGGAACGAGCACCCCCGCGACCGCGTTGATGCGGCCTCCTGCTCCATTCGCGTGCCTGATCAAATTGGGAACTCTGGGATCCTGAAGCCTGTTTCTGCGAGGGCCTCGTCTAGTTTTTTCTAGCGCGGGCAGCCCGATGATAGCCTGACCGGCGGCCGCGCCCACCACCGTGGAGCCATCCTCGACCGCCGGCAGAGGAGATCGGGCGCCCCCTGTCCTTGCGGACCTCGGAGATGGTCTCGAGAGCGAGGTCGGCCAATTCCAGCGGCGCGGGCTCGCTGCTGGCGTTCTCGAGGGAGAAGGTGCCCAGGATGATCCCCGCCCCAGCCCGTCCGTCGATGAAGAACGAAGCCCCGGAGCTGCCGCCGCCTCCTTGATCTGATCTCGTGGGGGGGGCGGGCCCTGAAGATTCCCGCTGTCAAGGGCTCTTTTGTTTACATCGATGTCAACGCGTCGCTTTCACAGATTCCTCGGGGCCCAGGCGCTTCTTTCTCTCTTTGCGATCTCCTCGATCGCGATCGCCGCGTCGCTCTCCGCGAAAGGGCTCCGGCGGCTTGAAGTAGCGGCGGTCCGTCTTCAGAGTGCGCTTGAGCGTCTTGTTCTCCTTCCACGTCTTCTGTTGTCCCTTTCGCGAGCACGGCTAAGACGTCGCCCAGCTCGTTCTCATCTGCCTGAGAGTTCTCTATAGTCATGAGGATGTCCTTTTTTTCGCTGCTGTCTAGACCAATTCGCTCTCGGCATCCTCCTGGCGCTCTCCGAACGTGTGAAATGCCCCCCCCCTTCTGCAGCAGCGGTCTCCAGGTAGCTCTTCTTGCTAGAGGCCGACATGAACTCGTTCCTGGTCATGTCCATATCCTTGATGGCTGCCTGCAGAGCGGAGAAGCTGGAATCGCCACGGGCCATGGATCTGAGCATCTGGTGCCCTGAATCATCTAGCGAAACCCCTTCTTCAAGGAAAAGCTTGTTCCATCCGCCGTCTAGTTGGAGTCCTTGCACTCCGAGTTGGTCTAACTGTTGCTGCATTATTATCGTGTGCTGGGATAGCGTCTCCGGCGCCTTGCGCTTGTAGTTGAACAAGCATTCGCGACCGGCTTTGCGCCGATCGTCGTCGTGTCTGTCGCCGCTGAGAGCGTCGAGCCTTGCCAAAATGGTCTTGGCCCCGTCCTCGCTCGTCAGCACTGCGTCCGAAAGATCCTGCATCTGGCGCTGCATGTCCAGCTCGAGCGCCTGCAGGAGGCGGCGGCGCGCTTGGCAGAAGGGATATATGTGCCCTCGAGCCAGCGACGAACGCACCTCCGCCACAACTTGTAGTTTGCCCAGCCCATCCACCCTGGAGGGCTGGACATGTCCGGCTTGTTCCAGGTCCACGACGCCGAGGACCATGACGACTGCCAGCGCTGGCCAGCGCTCGATGAGGTCCACCCGGGGCCGTAGCCCTTTGAGGGAAAGGCCCATTCCCAAACGTTGTCCGTTGAGTCCACCTTCGGGTCGGCACGAGTCCAATCCGCTCGACTCCCCCATGAGTCGAACTCATCCCATGCTGAACTCGCTCCCCGCCAGGTCGTCGCCCACGGATATTGTTCCTCCGGGGGGTCTGCTGCTGGTTGTTCGCCGGAGTCAGTGCCTCGCGGTTGCCATTTGGCGCCTTCAGAAATCCACCGCGAGGACTGTGGCGAGCTGATGACAGTCCGCACGGCCTCGTCACCGTGTCGGTCAGCTCTTGCTTCTGGGCCTCCGTGCAGCCCGATCCTGGGCTCGAGACAGAGCCCTCCACTGCGTTCACCTCGTCGCACGACGCACTCTTACTCTCCGGCGGCGGCTGCTGGTCATCAACTTCGCTGGCCATGAGGAAGCCGGAGGCCCCTGGTCGCACCAGAGGCTCCGCTACCAACTGTCAGATCAAACCGACCACGACAATTCCCAACGGAGAGAGGGCCTGGTGTCTTTATCTCCGAAGGACAGCATGTAAAGGAATCTGAAGGCGCCCCTAAGCCAAAGGCTGCGGAAACAGAAAGAAACCGAGTTCCTATATGCACAATCTCTTTGTTGGGGTATTACCGTGCCGTGCGTCCGCCCTTGGGTTGGTCACGCGGCGACTAGACATACACAATACCACAAGGGTCTTTGTATTTGGCCCCCGGAGCTAACACTCACACCCCGCCGATCCGGAGTCCTAACCTGTCCGGGTCCAAAACTCGAGGGCCCTGACTTCTCAGAAAGTTCAGAAGGCGCCCCGCTTTCTGCGACGTTTCCTGAGTCCCATCCGAAACCACATCCCGAGGGATTCCTAGAATGCCAGAGGGCTGCTGAGAATCCCCGCCGCCTTCTGAGAAACCCGGCCCGATTTCACAACTAAAACGAAGCCAGGACGAGGGTAAAATCGGGTGAGGGTACATCGAGAATCTCTGAGTCCCGACGGTTCTGGAAGATGTCTCGGGCGCCGCGGCACTCTCAGAGCGTTTCGGAACGTTCTGAGAGCGTTCCGGAACGCCCTGGAACTGATTTGTCCCTGTCCTATAGTCCCGTCCGTCCAGAGGCTGCCCGGGCTCCGACTCTCGATACCTCGCGCCTGCCAGCTGCTCTCGGTGGGCCCCGGGGCCCCGAGAGAGGCCCTCATAGGATGTTGAGCCTGGGAGGCCCGCAGGCGTCGCCGCCCGCCGCCTCGACGGGGATATCGAGGCGCCTGCGAGCTTGAGAGAGGTCGAGAAGTGACCACGGCAGCCGCAGACCTGGGCAACCACATGTGAACCCTACCGCTGCAGGTCGGAATTTTGAAAAAGCTGGCCAGGGTTCAGAGCTCGAGGGGTGCCTGCAGCCAGGTGAGCCTCAGCGGGGGCCGATGCCCCAACGTCGAATGGACTGGCAGGGGTGGGGCTCGCAAGTGGCTGCACACGAAACGCCTCGACTCCTCGCGAGCTCGAGGCCCAGACCTCCGATGTCTGGATCTGCTTCAACACGGGGCCCCCGAGCTCTGGACCACTTCCCGGAGAGCCGCTCTCTGTCCCGGGCCGTTGCTTGACGGCCCCCGGGGTGTATAGCAAGGCCCCCCCATGGCGTCGAAGACGACGAAAACCGCCGTCCTGATTGTTGCCGACGCGGTCAGGAACGTTGGCACAGCGTGTCGCGGCGGCGGCCCCGGCGACACGCTGTGCCCTGCCAGCGGGTGCGCTGCCGCTCTGCGGAGCGAGGAGCTCGGCGCAGCCCGGGGCGAGCCAACGCCGAGCAGCCAGGGCGCGGGAGGCGTGCCGCGCCAGGGCGCGGTGGGCCGGAGCCGGCGGCGCGACGCGCCAGGCCAGAGTTCCCGCACGCAGGTCGTTGGGGGCGGCCGCTCGGCCTCGAAATTCGCGTTCAACGCCAGCTGCTTCACCTGGCCGGGAGGCGCGCGCTCCGGCAGATCTCGGCGGGGGGCGGCGGGCGCTGCTTTCCACGCCCGCGCAGGCTGCACCTGCCTCCCGGAGACACGCTTGTGCTCCCCGCGCCCATCCCTCGTCCATCCTTCGATGCTCCTGCATCTCTCCTCCTCCTCCTCCTCCTCCTCCTCCTCCTCCTCCTCCTTCCTCCCTCCTCTCTCTTCCCTCGTCCCTCGTCCCTCCTCCCTCCTCCTCCTCCTCCTCCTTTTCCTTCTCCTCCTTTTCCTTCTCCTTCCCCTTCCCCTTCCCCTTCCCCTTCTTCCCTCCCTCCTCCCCCCTCCTGCTCCGTCTCCTTCCTCTTCTCCTTTTCCCCCTCCTCCCCCTCCTCCTCCTGCTCCTCCCTCCTCCTCCTCCTGCTCCTCCTGCTCCTCATGTCCTCCACATCCTCCATCTTCCTCCTTCCACTCATCTTCTTCATCTTCTCCTCCTCCTCCTCTCCTCCTCCTCCTCCTCCTCCTCCTCCTCCTCTCCTCCTACGTCGTCCTCTTTCGCTGCCCCCTTCTCCTCTCCCACCATCGTCGTCGCCCCTTCATCGCTCCCCTTCCCTACCGCCCCTGATGCTTTTTTTTTCTGTGCCGCTTTCGCGAGGCATCCTCACGATGGGGCTCGAGGCTCGCTGGCCCAGCCCCAGAGGGTGGAGGGAGCGGGGCCAGGTGGGGGATGGGGATGCGTCTGGTGTGCCCACCTCGAGGCCAACTCGCCGACGCGCTCACTTAAACAAAAAGGCACTGGTTCGGGAGCAGCCTCGTCCTCCTCCCCTCCTTCTCGATCCTGCTCCTCCTTCCCCCCTGCTCCTTCTCCTCCTCCTCCATAATCCCACCAGCCCTTTGGGCGTGAGTGGTTTAGGGAGCTCTCTCTGTCCTCAACCCCCCTTCTTCCCCTTCGGGGAGGGGTTTACCCCTCCCCCTACCCCCTCCCCCTGGACCTGGAGAGGGCGGGCCGAGCGTCGCCAGGGGGGTCTTTTTCCACTCCTGGGAGGGCTAAAAAACGACGACCCTCACGAGGATTCTGGCCCCGACGGGGGGACACCAAAAAAACCCTCTCCTCTTCTGTGAAGCCAAAATCATTGATTTTACTACGGTGTCGGCCCCATTTTGGCCTTCTGAGGGGGCAGCGCTCCTCTTCCGTGTTCTCAAAATCAGTGAGTTTACGAAGGTTTTGGGCTCATTTTGTCCTTCTCAGGGGGTAGCGCTCATTTGCGCTTCTGAGGAGGTCGCAAGAAGCCCCCAAGAGGCCCCAAGATGCCCCCAGGAGGCTCCCAAGAGGCCTCCAAGAGGCCCCCAAGAGGTCCCCAAGAGGCCCCCAGAGGCTCCCAACAGGCTCCCAAGAGGCCCCCACGAGGCCCCCAGAGCCCCCAAGAGGCTCCCAAGAGGCCGCCAAGAGCTCCCCAAGAGGCCCCCAAGAGGCCCCAAGAGGCCCCCAAGAGGCCCCCAAGAGGCCCCACGAGGAGCCCGAACGACTCACACCAGGACGAGGGGCCCGAACGACTCACACCACGAAGAGCCCGAACGACTCACACCACAAGGAGGGGCCCGAACGACTCATACCAGGACGAGGCGCCCGACCGACTCACACCACGAGGAGCCCGAACGACTCACACCACGACGCGGGCCTCGAACGACTCACACCACGAGGAGCCCGAACGAGTCACACCAGGAGGAGGGGCAGCGCTCATACAAGCCCCCCAAGAGGGCCCCCAGAGGTCCACCAGATGGCCCCAAGAGGTCCCCAGATGGCCCACAGGAGGTCCCCAGGAGGCACCACGAGGCCTCCATGAGGCCCCCAAGATACCCCCAAGAGGTCCCCAAGAGGCCCCAAGAGGCGCCGAAGACGTCCCAAGAGGCCTCCGAGCGGCTTCCAAAAGACATATACTACTACTTCTTCTCCTACGATTGCTGCTACTTGAAGTACTACTACTACTACTACTACTACTACTACTACTACTACTACTACTACTACTCATACTCGTTTGACTACATCATCTCGTACTACTACAACTACAACTACTCTTACGACTACTACCAGATCTACTCGTACTACTATGAGTCCTACTACTACTAGAACTACTACTACTACTACTACTACTACTACTACTACTACTACTACTACTACTACTACTACTACTACTACTACTACTACTACTACTACTACTACTAACTACTACTACTACTACTACTACTACTACTACTACTACTACTACTACTACTACTACTACTACTACTACTACTACTACTACTACTACTACTACTACTACTACTACTACTACTACTACTACCACTATCACTACTTATTACTACTACCACAACTTCCATATAGACCACTGCTCTAGTGACTGCCTCTCTGTTACTCAGGCAACTCGTGCGACGACCACGTTGACGACTACGTTTGCTACTACCGATTGGAAATACCACTGCTACTACTACT